TTTTTTTATCTTTAAGATTATTAACATCCTAACATATATTTTCTGTAATTTAATCCTTAAATTTTTTGTTATTATTATAATTAATTTAAAATAAATAAAATTTAATTATGTGAGTCATGTAGTCATTTTTACATTTTTTTTTATTTTACACTCATCAATGCTATGTTGATATAAATATTTTCTATTTAAATCTATAAAAATAAAAAATTCTGCCTAAAGTAAGGTTTATATATGTTTTAAAAAAGATTTTTTCAGTTTCATAGATCTAAATAAATCACGTTTATGTTAACATCACATTAAGTGAAGAGTCACGCGATTTGCATGATCAGACTCTATTTATTTTATACTAATTATGAAATTTATAGGATAAAATATAAAGGGGGTATGTTGAGACAAATAGTCTCAAAGACAGACAGTTTGAGGCTTCCAGGGAATTATGCTACGGAAGAATACGTTACGAAAATAAAAAATATCTTTGAACTGTTATTACTGTTTTGGCCATCTCTTCAACCATCGAATATTTTCGATTTCCTCTCTCTGCGGCACTGTATAATGAAAACTCAAAATCGAATTCCGCAATTTTGCCGCAGCAGATCGAGAAGCAAATCTCAGTACCTTTCCAGTTTCCACCGAAGGTGTGGTTCTGTATTTTTACTTTATTTCCTTGTATTTCAGTAGATTTACAGTCAAATTTTACTCACAAAAAAAAAAAAAAAAGAACAAAGACTTTAAAGTCAAATTAGAGCTAATCTCATTAGGACAAAGATTTTACAGTCAAGCAAATCTCATTGAGAGTTAAGATATGGTTCATTTTTTTTCTTTATTTCCTTGTAATTTTATAGATTTACAGTCAAATTTTACACACCCAAAAAAAGAAAAAGGATATTACTGGGTATAGTGATAAATCAGTTGGTGTATGTCAAAGAATTGTTTCGATCCTTGTTTTTGGGCTGTTAAACGGCCCAATTTTTTATTGGTAATGTTGTTGGACAGTTATTGGGTCAAGTGCTTCTTTCTTTGTGGGCTCTTTATAATTATATAATCTCTTGTTTTATTTTTCCAAAAAAAAACCTTTTCTTTCGTCTAACAATGACAACCTTTTGTGACCATGGGCGGATGGAATGTCATTGTCCGCGATGACTCATAATGGTTTTTTTATTCAGGTGCCACCCAATAATTCATGTCTCATGATGAAAAAGAAGGAAAAAGTAGAGAACGAGCCGATAATGATGTTACAGAAACTATTTTCAATTGGGAAATCGAGTAGCAAACCGCGTATACTGTTTTAATGGATTCACCATTTTAAGTTATAATTTTGTGTTATAATAAGTCAACAATTTAAATAATAAAATAAAAATTTTAAATATAAACATATAAATTTAGATGAATGAAATAATAAAAAATTATTTTTTATTATATAATTTAA